ATGGTGGCATGTGCCAGCTACTTGAAGGCTGAGGTGGAAGGATCACCTGAGCCCAGCAGGTCGAGGCTGCGGTGGCCATGAGCATGCCACTGCACTCCAGCCTGGGCAACAAAATAAGACTCCAATTAAAAACAAAAAAAACAAAAAAAACTCCAAATTAGTACTATTTTAGTGAAATCCTATGGAAACATTACTTCTTTTGATTAGGGAAATACACAGAAAGGGCTGTAAGATTCCAAGTAAGATACTAAAGTATTTCAGTCAAGTCTCCAAGTCACAACAAGTAGTGAAGTATAATTTGCTCATTGAAAATAGCATAAAAAGACTATCAAGGCTAACCCTAACCTTTAAAAAGTCTTCAGTGAAAAGTCTTGATTTTTACCACCACTACTCTTGTACTCAACTCTAATAATCAGGTATTAGAATGAACCAAATGATTGACAGCATAAACAAATTTGCCATCACCTTTGATTCTAACTTTACTTTATATTACTTGTTTTATATTTGGTTATTTCAAAACTGTAGCAAAAAAATTTGATACTTACAAAAACGATTATATATAAAGTTTATAGAGAGATAAGTCTAGTTTAATGTTTTAAAAGTGCTTCACTTTTGCCGTAGCATATGACAATTACAGTGATTTTACGAGGATTACAATAAGGAAGTTTATACTAAACACACACACACACACACACACACACACACTACACACACACAAGTGACTAAAGGTCAGTGAATTAAGGATTGAATATTATAATTACAATGCATGAAGAATTTCAATAACATTAACTGAATTTAAAGTACATAAAATACTGTTTAAGCACTGTGGGTACTTAACACTGAGGAGCTACACTGCAGTAAAGATGATAATAACTATTTAAAGTACAAAGTCTAAAAAAAGACAGGGAAAGGTGAATTTCATTTCAAATTGAAGGACTTAATTTCTTCCAATTTTTTGGAAATCTGCTTGGAGTAGACAGATTTTGAATTGGCAGTTAAATAAGGGATATTCTGGAAATAGAGACTGACAAAGCTTTGGAGATGATGGCTGCTGGGGGAGAGGAGGAAAGCATTATTACACTGTTAGCCTTAAAAATGAACCAGGGCTGACCCTCAGGTCTATCCCACACAGGGCCCACAGCAAGTCTCCCTCTGTCTCACTGGGCTTGTAGAGGTTTCTCACTCTACTTTTGAAGTGTCTGACTAGGTTTACTGGATTTCAACATCTACTTGCTTCACCAAGCCTCAGGCTAATCTGCC